TCCTTGTCTTATTCTAGGGGTCCGCCATGAGCGACTATCCATGGGGGGTCAAGGGGAACCGCCAGGAGCGGCTATGCATGGGGGTTCTAGGGGGTGCGGCAAAGACGGGATGTCGTGGAATGTGTGTTTGTTTGTTTATTATTTTTTTTCTTTCTAAGGGTGTTTTTTTTTCTTCTCTCTAGAAGTCTTTATGTTTGTTCCTTCTCTTGTTTGTCGCTGTGGTTGTTGTGGAACTTGTGTACGTTTTGTCACTGTCCATCTTTTACAGGTTGATTCGTCGGTTGTTCTGTAACTTTGGTGCAGTTCTTTGTCGTCGGCGTCGGAGTTCGTTTCAGTTCACCCCTTCTGCAGTTTTCATTCGGTCTCCACAACGTGTCCGACTCACGAGGCAATAACGGGAAGGGCCCCGCGGAGTCCTCCTCGGCAACGGGAAAAAGGGCGGAGGGTAATAGAAAAGGTCACAAAACGAAGACCTTTGACTCCCCTTTCAAGGTGGATCCAAAGGCGGATGGAAAACGAGATGATCCTGTTTGGCATTTCGTTGCTCGTGGTCGTTATTTAGATGGATCCACTGTAGTCAGGAGGAAGAACCGTCGCCGTTGTTCAGGTTATGCGATCGTTCTCTATGTGGGGGTGCTCGTGATGCGAAGGAACACTTTTTTCGTGGTGAGGGGTATAGATGCCTTGTGGCGACTCTGGTGGTGTGGCACGCGATTTGGTCAAAGGATATGYCCAAGTGTCCTGCACATTTGGCTTCTGCCGTGCAGGCCTTGCAGAGTCTTTCTCCAGGTCATCCCTCTTTTCAATGGACACCTCTTCGTTTTCCCGAGGACGTCGTTCCGCCGCCCCCGTCGACTGCCGCCCCCTCGCAAGTGGCGCCATCTCCATGTGCACCACTTGCTCCCCCCCCCCTCGTCCGGCGGCAGTCTCACCTGCGCCGCTTCGTCAGACGATTCCCGCATCCGTTGATGGCAGGTCATCTGTGGCAGCTCAGCATGATGCGCAAGGCACCGTGCCAGTTTCGGGTGTCGGGGAACATGTGTCGTTCGACGAGCAAGGCACTCGTGCTTTCGTCGAGGGCGATGGATGGGGGAAGGGCGCTAGCATATCATCCGGCCTCGCTCCGTTGTTCACTGGTAACAGGGACAAGGTCCCAAGAGTTCGACGCACAGGCACACATCCGGCCGTGACAGGAGCACCTGCAACAGGATATCAATCCGCTGCGTATCCATGGTTGCCTCCCCCTCCTTCGCAAACAAGACGGCCTACACCAGACTTGATTTCGGCACCAGTTGGCGAGGCCGCTGCAACGGCCCCTGAGGGGGCGGGAAACGTCCCGCTCGACGAGCCCGTTCGGGTTTCGCATTCGTCACCCACTCCGGTGCCCGTGAACGGCCCGACCTCGCAGCACGGTGTTTTTGGGACACTAGATCCTTTACAAAGTCTGCACAACATTGCAGCTCCGAGTCCAGGCCCCACCGCATCACCTGCGACCGGGGCCGGGGTGTCGGATTCGCTAGGTATGGGTGCCGGTGCACGAGTGAGGGGCACTTACAGGCAGCAGGCGGTGACCTCGTATTACAACTACCCGCTGGAGCACGCATGGCACCTGCAGATCATTGTCGAGAGTGGAATGTCGTTCAACTGTGTGAAGCTTGAGAGCTTCAAACGAATGTTGACGTTGATCATCCCGCCTGGGGTTCCAGGAGTCCCTACCCCAAAACCCCCAACGTATCACATGATCCGTACCACACTTTTGGATRAGCTTGATGTGGAAGTCCAAAAGTGTGTGAAACCTGTCCTCGCTACTGCAGCTACCTACGGTTGCACGATTATGACAGACAGTTGGACCAACATTCGGGGCCAAACGTTGTGCAACTATCTCGTCGGCACTACACGGGGCGCCACACACGTCGCGACAGATGTTATGCGAGAAAAAAAGGATGCCACTTCTCTGGTGTAGGCTTGGCTGCGAAGGTTGAAGTCCCTTGACATCAAGCTCGCTGACATCACCGCTTTCGTCACAGACTCTGCCAGTTCGAACGTTTCTGCGATGGAGGTGTTCAAGAAGGATGAGAGTGTCAAGCACATCTTCTGGATTCCTTGTGTGGCGCACGCCATGGACCTCATCCTTGAGGACATCGGCGACATTGACTGGGTAGCGACCCGCATTGCTCAGGCGCGTTTGGTCACAAAGTTTTTCAATCGTCATAGCCACGCTCGCGTAGTTTTGCAAGCTTTCACGACGAAGGCTCTATTGCTTCCCGCCGAGACTCGCTTCGGTACGCATGCGATTATGATGCGACGACTTCTTCTGCGGCAATCGCATCTTATGCAGGTGGTCGTTGATGATCGATGGAAGGACACTGTTTGGTCAACGAAGAAGATTCGAGACGATGACGCGGAGGTCACAGCATGTGTCGTCATGGATATGCTGCAGATTGTGGACAGCGACACGAGGCAAACTGGCAAGATTTTGCGTCGGTAGATAATCGTGCGTTGTCTGTCTGCATGTTCCGCTTTGGGGAAGGACGAGCAGGACGTGCTGCTTGACGTGTTTGACAGACGCCGCACCATATTCAAGTCGCCTGCTCATGATGCTGCCATGATGTTGGACCCCGAGTTTCGAGACAGCACGATGCTGGACGACGAGGAGATGCAACACGGTTTCAAACTCGCTCTGATGCAGTTTGGGTACCCGGAACATTCGGATCAGCACAACGAGGTCCTCACTGCCATTGTCAAGTTCCATTCTAGGGAGCCTCCATTCCACGACGTGGCCATGGACCGGGCGGCGAGGAGCTATACCCATCCAGCCTGTTTCTGGGAATCGAAGGAGAAGAGGTTCCTGCACACGGCCTTCTTCGCTGGCAGGATACTTCGTGTGTGGTCCCGTTGGAGTTTCATCCACTCCAAATCTCGTAACAGACTGGAGGTGGCGCGGGCCGAGAAGCTCGTGCGATGCCATTGGAACCTTAGGCTCCTCCCGTTGGAGTTTCATCCACTCCAGATCTCGTAACAGATTGGAGGTGGCGCGGGCCGAGAAGCTCGTGCGATGCCATTGAAACCTTCGGCTCCTCGATAGGCAGGCTATGTCGGACGATACTCCCAATGGCAGGCCACATCCGTATGGGAGTTGGGTGCACTACTGGCAGCAGGTGGAGGAGGAGGTGCCCACCGACCAGCAGCTTGTGGCAGACCGAGCAGCCCGTGCGACGGTCATGAAGGAGGAGTTGACGCAGGCGAGAGAGAGGATGCGCGCCGTGTCCCGCATGGGAGCCACTCGTTGCTTGCGGGAGTCTGACAGGAGAAGGTGTCGTGGCGGCGGTCGTGGAGGTTGTCGTCCGGGCGGTCGTGGGCGAGGCGGGCGTGGAGGTCCTGGCGGGAGGCGTAGTGTCGCGAGTTGTGGAAGGGCAGCGGACGAGCTAGTACGCAAGCCTCGACAGCGATGGGATGAGGGAGACTTTTTGTACGAGAGCTCGTCCAGCGATGACGAGGAGCAGGCCTGCACAGGATGACAACAGTGACTTCGACGATCGTCACCCGGACGTGGACAGCGACGATGGCGGCAGTGGCGATGATCACGGTGACGGAGGAGATAGGCCACGACCCTACTCAATCCACAGAGACAATGACAAGAGGCCCGACGAGGGAGCGGGACATTGTCGCGCTCACGATGACGCTGATGCACGGAACAGTGCAGGGGCCTTGAGACCTGCACATAGTGAAAAGATGCGCGACGACGGGGCAGGGGGCGAGCACCACACAACAGTAGATGGCGCTCAAGATGGAGTGGATGATGATGGTTCACGACCTGTCCCGGGCGGTGAACTGAGGTGCTTGAAACGCGGACCAAGGAAAAAAGACACTATTGCTTCACATGTGCACAAACGTCATGGTGGGGTTGCTAGCATTCCAGTAGCACGAGTCCCCGCAACTGAGCAGATTCCGATTTCCGATGACTCTTTCAGCGATCACGACGGCGAGGAGCGGATCGAGCTGCATGGCGGGAGTGGTCATCCACGAGATGACACTTCGAGTATGCACGCGACAGCTCCGATGGGGCCTTCCGCAGCAGTCCCAGAATCGCAACAGGGTTCAGCACCGTTGATGCGTCATCCCGAGGTTCAGGGAGAGATCGGTCCTCTCCCGGCAGTGCGGGACGAGGGTTCTGCCGGTGCACTGCATCCACTCACGTCTGCCAGAGCGGCAGTCTCAGTTGCAGCGACCTCGAATGTGGGCAGCCACTTGCAGCGGCGGAGTAAAAAAGTATGCATGCAGCGATCAGGCACGCACGGAGGCGATGCAGTCAACAGTGTGCCTCGGCCACCGCCTGCATTGATGGAGGGGAGTCAGGGGACCGTTGTTGTGTGTCTAGGCGACGATCTTCCGGAACGTGAGATCTCACACACTCCCACAGCCGAGCAGAGCGTCGCAGGCCATGTCGGCCTCGCATGCCCCACCGACAGTCTTTCGGGTACCGGCGAGTTACTGACCATGGACTCTGCGCTCGTTTCTCTACCGGACTTGTCGACGTTGATATCCCCAGGTCTACTCCACGTGTCACTGCCCAAGCCACAACAACCTTTCGTCATGGAGCGTGGATCAGATGGGTTTGACGAGGTAGGAGGCGATATCGTTGATATGATTACGAGCCCAATGGTGTCTGCCACGCCCACGACTTTTTGTGTTGGCAAACCACACGAGGTGACCCTTGGTTTGGCGGAGACGGCGACGCGACACCGCCGCGACGGTCAGCGCAGCATCGCACAACGCAGTCTTTCTCATTCGTTTGGCTGCGCAGAGGAAGGGTCTCCTGGTGGGTCAGTTGACGCAGTCGAAAGAGAAGCAAGACCCCCAAGTCCGCCGTCAAACTCAGAGCATCATCCGATTGCCGTGGCTGTCGGCGCAGATGCGGGCGTTCCCGTCGCAAACACTTTGGACGCGACAGATTAGCCTGTGGTTGGGTCATCGCCGACAACACGGCGCGAAAGAGCTACTGTTTTGCCGACAGTGGCATTCTATGCCAGCGGGAAGAGTACTGGGGGGATGGATGAGCAGGGAGTCCGGAATGTTGGCAGTCCATCTGCACCGTCTATGGTGACACGATCCATTGGGAGTGTGGATGGTGCTCGGCACACCGCCATGGCAGAGTTTGAGGTCCGACACGGGAGTGCTTTGCTGACGAAGACGTCTCATGTTCATGCTACGAGAGCCGCAAAGGCGAGTCTTTCTCGGGCAAGGAATAAGGCATCGACAAGGAAGGTGTCACTTTCTTTCTCACATATGCGTTCCCGAGAGAGAGGATCGGGCGTTGTGCATCTCGAGGACGGAGAGATTGCACCTGACGGCGACGCAGAGGCCGTTGGAGGAAGGGATGCAACGATGGCGGATATCGTCGGCAGGGAGGGCACAGGGGATGCAGTGGCAGGTCAGAAGAGACGCGGCAGTGTACTTATCGTCCATGACGACAGCACAAATGTCGCCCCGGGAGAGACCACAGGCACTGATGATGTAGGGGACTCCGATTACGTACCCAAACCACGGGCGGCAGATGGAGATGATGGAGGAGGGCGACGAGCGAGACCGAGGACACGACTCGGGCCGCAAGGGCATCGAGAACAGGACACACCATCGACGATGATTCCTGCTCCCATAGATCGGCGAGCTAAGGCGCAGCGGTTGCTGCCCAAAATGGAGTCCACTCTTCAACAGACACACGGTTTATCGCTTGGTCGCGAAGAGACGGAGACTCAGAGAGAGAGAGAGAGAGAGAGAGAGAGAGAGAGAGAGAGAGAGATTTATCAGATACTTGCGCTGGCTGCGTTGTTCGAGAAGCAGGCCCGGGCTATCACTAGGACGGGAGGCCATATGGCCTAGGCCCGTAGCGTGAGAGCCTATAGCCGGGCAGGCAGAGGCCATTAGAAAATAGCTTCACTTCAGCTTGTTGTACTTTTATTTTGTTACCCTCGCAGCATCGCATCTTCACAGCCTCGTAGCCTCGTAGGTATCTTATTGTGATTGGTTGTTGCCACTTGTTCGAACTCTTGGGAGTCTTGGGAGTATTGTCTGAGAGAGAGAGAGATTTATCAGATACTTGCGCTAGCTGCATTGTTCGAGCAGCAGGCCCGGGCTATCACTAGGACGGGAGGCCATATGGCCTAGGCCCGTAGTATGAGAGCCTATAGCCGGGCAGGCAGAGGCCGTTAGAAAATTGCTTCACTTCAGCTTATTGTACTTTTATTTTGTTACCCTTGCAGCCTCGCATCCTCGCAGCCTCGTAGCCTCGTATCCTCGAAGGTATCTTATTGTGATTGGTTGTTGCCTCTTGTTCGAACTCTTGGGAGTCTTGGGAGTATTGTCTGAGGTTGTATATCTATTCAGATGGTGCAATGTTTTTGTTTTTTTTTTATATATCTATGCAAAATTGGAAATTGACCAAATGATACAATGGTTTTTTTTTTTTTTTTTTTTTCCCACCCTCGGCAGTTCGATTTGTCTTCGAAAATTGAAATTTATTTCGAATCTTGAAATGTTCGCATTCTTCAAAATGTACTGTCTGGCGGTTGGAAGGTTGCCCGTGGACCGTGGTGTGTGTGTGTTTTCTCGCATTTTTTTTCATCCATTGAAATTTTCTGCCTCAACCAAGTTGAACCAACCCCTCAAAAAGACCGAAATGCTTCTCACTTAGGCCTCTGGAAAAATCGACGTGAATGGTTGAAGTGGGGATATTTCCGGTTGTAAAATGTAGATCTATTTTCAAGGTGTGTGGAGTTACTATAGTAGAATGGCTAATGAAAGAGAAAAGGTCACCGATAATTTCGATAAAGCTACAAAACAAAAAATTTATCAAATAAAAATTCAAACCATGTGGAGTACAAATTGTACAATGGCTAATGAAAGACAAAAGGTAACCGACAAAGCATTAAAAAAAATAATAATAATAATAAAATTTACAAACGCTCGAGAAAGTCACAAAACTAATATTGAGTATCATTGACAAACCTTCTGCCCACATAGCACACCACCCAGCCCACATAGCCCCGCGGTACCAGCCCCGGGCCCGTGCCAGCGTGCCCGCATAAATGCCACACCCTGCCAAGTTGCCAACATAGTACCCGACCCACCGGGCCACCGTACACATAGTACCGCACCCACCCCACATGGTACCCCACCCAGCCCACACACTAGGTCACTACCCCTCTTTTTTGTTTACACAAGGTCACCATAATTACCCCCAGCCCAGCCCACTGAGCACACTGCCGAGGGTCACCCTCCCATCGCCTGGCCACACCTGCCCAGCTAGGACACGGGCTACTGGTAGCTACTAGCCAGACCTGCCTGCAGCTGGCGGGTCCGTCCACCATTCCCGCAGGGCGCCCACTGCCCAG